ATTGAGATTTTCAAACCCACATAACTTTACTGCAAGTGCTATGTCTGATTTTCCAAAATGATCTGTCCATTTGTTGCATAGTACTAGGATGTGTGCTCCTAAAGGAATGTTAGGTCAGGTTGCTTTTACTCAAAAAATAGGGACAGTCAATGTCAGTCAGTAATGGTACTAAAATATTGGCAAAATATATTTTAAATAATGTATAAAGGAATAATAATATTTTCTATATTTTTTTCCTCCATGAATAAGTAACTACTCTAGGTCCTTAATGCCTGACTTAGCCAGCAGAAGGTTTTTTTTGACAGCGAGTTGAATCTCAGAGTCCAGAGGACATCAGTAGAGTGACATTTCAAGTAATAGGGGAAACAGTTGTCTTCTTGTCAATTGTCATGCCAATAGAGAAGATGAAGTTGGTTTTACTCTTTTAACATAGATTTCGTTATAAAACTGATTAGCATGCAATCTGGGGAGGTGGCATTTGGATACGTCTTTCAGTGCACTGAGGAATAAAACTAGACTCTAATATTCCAAAAATTTCAATCTTTGGCAAAGTTGCAAGTGCGACTGGAAAAGCAAGATATTTTTGTGTGGCATTGGGAGTCTGGTAGGTGATGATGTGTAACACAGCTAGTGAGAAAGGCATGGTGCTCCTGGTTGGCAAGAATATCCCAATTGCTGCTCTGCTGCTGGCTGCACTTGCTTGGTTTTTTTTCTCTTTTCCTTCCCATTCTCTGTATTTTAAATTCTTTTGTAATTATGGTGGAATTGAATGAAATGTGTTTTCATCCAAACAAAGGTTTGGAAGTGTTGGAGGTCATGCCTGCACAGGGAGCAGGTTATGGACAATCTTTCTTCAAACTTTGCATCATCTCTACTGGACTTAATCTCTTATTTGGGGTGGAGGACCAGTTATGCAGGATCCTGTCACTTTGTCACGCCCTGCAGTGCTCCACATCCATCTCCCAGTGCTGGTGCTGCCCACAGCCCTGCTGCTGCCTGAGGCCAGTACCATGGGGCAGCTGCTGGGTATAAATAGGAAGGGATCTTGTACATTTGCAGTTATTTAATGGAAAAAACGAGGTTTGCCAAAAGGACAAATCCTCAAGTTTCCTTCCACTGGTGCAAATCCAATTTTTTCAGTCTCTGTGGCAGTATCAGAGACTGGTTTTTTCTTTCCACTGTCTTACAAGCAATGAAGGAAATCACCCAAAAGCTGTGTAACCAAGGGCTGTGCAGAGAGGCCATTTCTTACTCCATTACCCCAAAAATGGAAGTTTCTGGGTTTGTGTGCAAGTGATTTCGATTTTGTAAAGCCCCCAGCTCCCTCCCTCGCTCTGTGGTTGAGTTCTGCAGCTGTTGGTTCCCCCTTGCCTGGGCTCAGTTCCCTGGCTGCTCTGCCCGCTGAACCCCACACCAAGGGATTTCTCCTGCTCCACAGGAGTAGATAATTTTGAGTTTTCAGTGTGTCCTGCCTATAATATACAATAAGAAAAAAAGAGAAAGCAAAGCTGTGCAGACAAAAATCCCACCCTGAAAAATCTGCCCTGAAAGCATGAGCCATAAATAAAGCACACAGAGAGGAATTTTCTTTCTTCAATTTAATTGAAGTTACTTAGAAAAATAATCAGGCTTGAATGGCTTTTTTTAAGGAAAGATTCATGAGCAGTTCACACTTGTGTTGGCAATGTATAATTTATCTTTTTTGCTTTATTAACAGTATATTTAAGTATGAGGAGATACTTTTCTACAACAAGCCTTCTACTGCATACAAATAGGTTAAAAAAAAATCCAACCCCACATTGATGTTAAATTATTCGTACACATTGTATTGTGCATGCATGTAAGAAAATAACACTCTCTGTAACAAGAGTAATAGTAAGGACAGTCCCTTTTTGTACCTGAAAAGTGCAGCAGACTACAGTGAAACCCTAAAACTTCTGGGGTCAACTTACTTCTAAAAGCACTTCTGCTTGTGGATTATTTATTTCACTTGTCTTAGCGCATGGTTCAGGCAGTTTGCACATTTCTGTCATAATGGACATGGTTTATGAAAAGGCTGAAGCATGGAGTGAGCCAGGTTTGGGGGAACATCCCACCACCCCGCCCAGAATTCTCCACCATGTTCACATGGGCCAAATTCAGCCTGCACTCCAGGTTAAGGTGCTTGATGCCATTTGGCGGGGGGAGCATGACCCCTCAGCTGTGGGTATCGTGCCAAGTACAGAGCCACCAGCACTGCTGGGCTCAGCACTGGCCCTGCCAAATGACAGGGAGGCAACCGCTGCTCAGAGATGAGGATCACTGCTCCAGCAGTTTTGAGGGGGCTGGGGACAGAGGTGGGGAGCAGGAATTCCCCCACTGTGTCCTCTCTGTGCTCGTCACTACTCAACATAATTGATGCACACCCTTCTACAACAGCAGCTTCCCGAGTGGCTCTTGCAGCACCACAGGCACATCTGTATTTTACATTTTGCTGTGGCTCCGTGCTGCTTGTTTGTCTCCCAGGATCTGCCGTGGCCACAGCAGAAATGGAGCTGGGAGAGAGACAGAACTCAGGAGCAGACCAGCCCCTTGCCTCCTCCAGCTGGGAGACCCAGGGAAGAGCTGGAGGGTAAAACCAAGCCGGTTCCCAGTGCAGGTGGTGGCTGCCAGCTCACTGACATGAGCATGAACAACCCTGAACATCCTCCTGTGTGGCTGCAGCAGAAAGACAGATTTTTTGGCTCAGGCAAAACAGCATGCCCAGTAGGCCAAAAGAAATGGGTGTTCCTGAACATTTGTCATCCTGCTCTGAGCTGGTGAGGGCTTGCTGCTCACTGCACATCTAGCATGCCAGTTGTTTATGTTAAACACAGATCTACAGCCCATTCACAGCACCTCAAAATAGGTATAACGCACTAAATAGCCAGTAGTAGTAGTTTGGGATCAAGGTTTTTCAAAAGCAAGTGACTTCAAGCACCCACTGAAGTCCACATAAAAGCTTTCTCAGTGCTGAGCATCCACCCATAGAGCTACCCTCTGTGGGGAGCCAGAATTTAGGTAATCCAACCCAAAGCTGTTGCTAAAAATCCTGGCTGGAGCAACGGTCATCAGATCTCCTGAACACATTTTTCACCTAAAGCTTTTCTATCACAGCTACCATATAGAGGTTTGGTGTCTCCAAAGCTGTGAAACTACAGAGAATATTTCAGAATGCATAAAAATGTGGTGATGGTGCCAGAGAAAAGTACAAAAAGAAAGGGGGAAGAACACCCCATTCTTTAAATGTTTACTTTCCATAGCAACTTTTGTCTTAAATTTAAAAAATCACATCACATTCTGCTGAATGGATTAAGAGCTGACAGAGAAGAAAACTGGACCAAAATATGAGCGCTGTGGGATGCAAGACCAAACTAGCACAGAAATAGCTTGTAGGAAGTATGGGGGGGGGGGAAGGGGAACCTGCCTCAGACAATTTTTTTTTAACAAACATACAACCATTGAACTAGGAACATAAAAGAGCCAGGGCACTGTGAGAGGTACAGCTCCACACATTTAGTCTCTAAATGAGACTAAACTGCTTTAAAGTAAAACACCAACCAGTAATCAGCAATGGATCAGGAATTCAGAGGGGTCAGCCAGCCAGCAGCCCCTTGTCAGCCACTGGCCCTGTGCTCCAGGTTATAAATAGGGGCTGGGTTATGAAAACTGTGGCTGTTCCAGAATGAATAAGAGATTTAATTGTATGGTAAGGTAGAAAAAATAATGACCTAAATCCTGCCTAGGACCAAATCCAATTGTGAAAGGACTTCAGTTGTTGTTTGTTATGTTAATTTGTTTTTCAATGAGATTTATTCAGCAACTTATTTTTATCAAATAAAATGCAAACTATTTTTCTTCTTTAATCGCATCTGTGTCCTGGAAACTAATACAATTCAGTGGATATTACTGGCTACTCTGCAATGTGACATTTTTCAGGATCTGGCTCTGATACTGTTGAAACAGCTCTGCCTTCAGCTGAGTTTATTTAAATCATCGATCATTTTTGAAAGGGTTTATTTTGATCAAAAGATTGACATGTAGGCAAGTTAAACCCCCCATTTTTAACCATCTATCAACTTTAAAACAGATTTTATATTTTCACAAGTGCCTCAATTTAGCCTCTGCCTCCTTTTGCCCATCAGCTGCCTGTGGATGCTGAGGTGGCTACAGAGCCTTCCCTCACCTGCATCCAACTGAAGCAAACATCTGGAGAAGCCTGAACTTCTGGTCCTACTAGCTGGCTAACAGATCCACACTGAAATCCCATTTCTCATTGTTTATCTGCTGTGTATAGATTAGTATTTGCTTACCCAAAACAATCATCTGCCATCCCAAAAAGCTGTTAAACACAAAACAACTGCTACTGAGACATTCCCCTTAAGAAAAAAGGTCATGGTCTTACACTAGAGATGACTTAGATGAATTTCTAATACACTGGAACTTAGAAAAATTCCTGTCAATGGCATTTAGGCATCAGCTAAAAAAGAAGGCTTCTCCTCCCTAGGAAAAAGCCATGAAACCAGCATGTAGGAAGATGAGACCTCTTTTATTGCCTTGCATGCTGAGAAAATCAACATGAAGATGACCTTTTGAATTTTCAAATGATGTGTGCAGATTCTTTACAGCAATAAACATTGCCCATCTTAGGATCTATTAGGGAAGCACGACTTGAAGAGGATGGATGTCCCCACAGCTCCGTCCTGGATATGAATTAAGTCAATGCCAATTGCTTTGGGCATTCAAAAAATCTCTTACAGTCACTTTCCAATGCTGATTCTTTTCTGATGGACCATCCCCAATTCATCTGGGCTGGGACGCTTCAAATTAAGAGCCAGTGGGAGTGGCCATATTCTTAAAAACTCATTAAGACTTATAAAAGGAATCTTCCTAAGGTAACTTCCTAAGGAATACATTCACATTTCCTTCAGTCATGGGTTTTAGATACTCACAAATCTACCCAAATCTGGGTTACTTTTCAGGCCTAGAAAGACAGATTTTGTACTAGTATGGAGCACAACATCACTTTCTAAAGAACTTATTTTCACCGATCTTCTCAAAGCTTGTGGTTCCAGAACCATTCCCATATTTACCTGCATCAATGCCTAATGGAAGAATATTATTACCCAGAGCAAGCTGGAAATTGAGGAAAACTAAAAACCAGACTCCTTTTGTCCATATGTTAGCCTATCTCTGCTGCTGAAGTGAAACCTACCAAGAGACAATGTTTTAAATAAGTATAAATAACATTAATTAGAACTGGAGGAATGAAAGATCAATGAAATTCACCAGAACACAATTAACATTTGTTTAAACAGTGTAGCAGTATTATTAATTTCTACAACTAGATCATCACAATCCCGTTACCCTGCAAAGAGAGCTGTCCCTTCTTACAGTTGATTTAAATAATTTTGACTGTGCTGCTCGCAGCATCATTCAAAAAAAGAAAATATTAATTTACAAAATAACCCATTCTCCATATTTATTATGACAAATAAAAATCTTAAATAAAACAGGCCTTCTCTCCCCTCTTTCCCCCCAACCCATCCCTCATTCCAATTTCAGGTAGCTTGGCACTGAGTAATTAAACATTAAAAAATCAAGTTTGTAGACTTCATACAGCTGCGTTTGGTGCAAGGAGCTGATATTCTGGAAGAACTCTGTGGTCATTTCATCAGTAGTTCTCGTAGACTTTGCATAGGTGGGAAATTTCAGGTAGTTGCCTACTCCTGCCAGCTGGAGAACGTAATTCGAATCGTCTTCGAGCGTTTCGTACTTTCCTATGAGGTCGTAGTGGATGTGGCAAGGGTGGCAGAGGGAGTACACAGTCTGCCAGTGCTCGTTGAAGGGCTCTTCTCTTTGGGTGTGTGGGTCGATGAGATATGCCACGAACTCTTCAAATTTCACGTCATCACCTTTCCGCAGAGCCTCCTGGGTTGCGTTTTTCCTCTGGCGCCTCACGATTTTGGTGCCGTATCGCTTGTGGAAGGAAGTGTTGTACTTCTGGGTGAACTTGTTCCTGTAGGCTGACACCAGTCTTTCAAAAGGCTCGCGAACAAAGAGGAACTTCATGTAGTTTTTCAAGCGGTGGTTGATCTCTGGGATGCTGTACTGGTTGAGGGTCTTCAGGTTTGAAGACACATGGGCTTCGTTGGCCGGGATTTCCATCGGATCGCTGTACTTCCCTCTTCCCGTCAGAACCATCATGACTCTCTTCCAGTTTGTGCAGGCCACTTTGGGAACATAGCAATAGATCATTTCATGATCCTCATCCACGACCAGGTGCTTGAGATCATTGGGTGTCAGCACACGGCGCTTCCTGCTGGACACGCTCTTTGCCCGGCACGTGTCTGTCACTTGGTCTCGTCTGATCTGATGAAGAATTGCTGTGTTGGATAACTGCAAAGGAAGCACAGGGACCAGCAGGTCAAGGGCTGGGAAACTCTCAATGCCTTTTTTGCTTATTATACAAATTCATAGAAAAGCAGATCTTTCCCTGCATAGACTAATTCATTATGTGGCTGACTACAACTGACACTACTCTAGAAGATGAACTGTTTCTCTCTCAAAACTTCTTGATACACACTGATTAAATGCTGTTCACAGAGCATCCAGTGCTTTGCTTTGAAGACAATATCAAGGAGCACAAGTGCTCACACAACATGGTGGCAAGTGTATTTACAGAACCCTCATCCCGAGATGTGGTCACTGCTTCTCTTAGGCCTGGAAAAAAAATGTTGCCTCCACTCTGCAGTTAAACCCACAGCTACAGCAGTGTTGGATCTTTTGCTGCTGAGATGGGATAGGAAGATACTGGAAAATTCGACAAAATGAAAATACTGTGTGTTCTTGTTACTGGTGTCTTTTTGGTTAGAAAATTTAATAGTTATGGCTTGTTTCTTGGCTATGACCTTGAATATGGCATATACGGCTATGGCCAGAATAAATGAAGTCCATGGATATTCCTGCAGCTCGCCAAGAGGAAGATTGGTGTAGTATTGCATTTTATTTAAATGGTATGCTCTGTCTCACCCCTCCAAAATGTACGGTATATCCCAAGCCTGTGGTCCTGCCCTGAACCATCATGTACCTGTAATCCCATTGGCCCAAGTCTGATTCCGTGCCCATTTTCAATCCCCCTCTTAAACCGTGCCAGCGAGACCAGGTGCTCTCTTAGCCCTTCTGCTCTCTTAGCCTTTCTCCTCTCTTGGCCCTTCCATCCCCTAGGCTCTCCCTCTCCCCCTCCTTCCCCCTCCCCCTTCCCCCTTCTCCCTCAGTAACCACCATGCTCCCAGGGATGGGACCCCCAATAAACCTTCATCTAATCAGCACCCTCAGAAGCCGTGCGGAGTCTCCTTGCCTGCCTGCTGCTGCCAGCCAACTCACAGCCTAGGGGGCCCTCCGGGGACACCCCAGGGTGCCCCCCCAAAACGAACTGCAACAGATTCCTTCAGACTATGCCAGTGCAGGGCTCCTGTGTTTGGTTGTTCGGAGGTGTCTCTGCATGGCATGGGGTTTTTCTGTGCAGCCCTATCCTCACTACTACAAATACCTTGTTATTTATTGAGAATAAACTGCATCAAAGCAACAGTGGGAAGACGTTAGTAATGTTATTTACATTTATTTAACACAATTTACCTGTGAATTTTGAAGAACCTTATGCTCAATAATTAATTTAGCCTCAAAGACAAGAATTAAGTCAAGTATTGACCTTCTTATTTGATAGGCAAGGAGGTCTGGGATTTCTTCTTGTATGCTGAGTATTTCAAAAGTATTTATGTTGTACCTTCTTGTTGAATTAACAGGAATCACAGGACACTGAAAAGAAGTATTTGAGGCAGTGTAGACTCTATGCACCTGTTATGTGTGTTCCTTTGGTTATACGGGTCTTTCTCCCTGCCAATATACCAGAAAAAAACCAGTACATGCCAGGCAAAACCCTTTGTCCTTGGCAAATGGTTTTACACCAGCTTGGGAGTCCACACTGAACCTCCAGTTCTTGCAGTCATGGGTCAAATCTCTGCTTTCAGTAGCAGTGCTTAGCCACGATTCATATTTAAAAAACCCATTAAAACTCAAAGAACAGAATCCAAATGAACTTTAGAGTCGAAACCCAAATGAAACTACAAAATGGGACCAAGCCAGTCGCAGGATTTCTGCGCTTTGCAGAGAAAGGAAATGGAAATTGCTTTGTTACAGACTAGTGCTAAGAGCCCAAGTTTCACCCACCCAAGGGGCAGCAAAAGCTTTTGCTGCATGTGAGCAACAGAGATTTTCCCTCTGTCTGGGCTGTGGTGGGTTGCAGAGAAATGTCTCCATGGTATGAGCAACATCAAGGGGCTGGTGCAGCTCAACTCTGGGCAGGAGGACTTTTCCTTCAAGAGAGTGCCAAGCCTGGGACCTCTGTATTTTGCACAGTGCCACCCACCACTTCTCTGAATTCTGATACTTTCCTCATCTCTTTTGCTTCTCTGTTCAGTAAAATGCTGGCTAGTGGTTAAAATGTGCACTAGCCCAGTGCAGTTCTTTTAGACAGCTTGGCTTGTCTTTTGTCTGTGTGTGGTATCCCCCTGGATATCTCCCAGGTGCACTTCAAGGGCAGTTTTATGTAACAGTCAAAGAGATGAGAAGCCAGGTGTGAAATGTGCTTCGTACTTCCTAGGAAAACTGACTGGCAGGGAGTTTCCAAACTAGATGTTAGAAAGCAGTTGTCAAGGACCCCACACAGATTTTTCAAGAAAATTACTTTTTCTGTTAAAAAAAATTTCCCTCTTTCAATTTATGGCATCCTCAGAACAAAACAGAAGTAATGTATCTCAACTAGCTCTATACTGGTTATTTACCAGTCAATAATTTTCTAAGAACTAAACAAAACCCTATGCAAACTCACAGACATACAGATTCTCTTTTGCAAATAAAAAGCTGAAATCTCTCCTCCTGCAGATTTTCATCAAAAAACATATAGCACAGTAGTGCTGTTTGCCCCAGGTTTTAGAGTTAAAAAAAAAAGCCTGAATACATGGCTACATTATAATATGTTAATGCACTGTATCTGATTTTCTGGTGCTGTTCTTAGGATAAATACAGAATTAAGTGGATGAGATTCTATGGTCTGTATTAGATAGAAGGTCAGATTTGATAATCTAATAGTTGCTTCAGACCCTAATCTGCAGATGAATCTTTGTAGAGCTGTGCTTTGCTCCTGATTTCATTCCTCTATCAATACGCTAAGCACTTCTTCCCCATACATTAACATTAATGAGATTTTCAGACATTTAGAGTAAGGGGAAAAATGAAGCCTTAGTATTTGCAATTACCAATGAGCTTGTACTATATTAAATTAATTTAGAAGATTACACTTGTGCATTTTCAAGTGGTACTTTCATTCTTTTTAACATGGAAAAAATATGAAGAAATGACATAAAAGCCACATTTACTACGTACATAACAATGCCCCAGGGTGAACCATGCATGTGCTCTGGCCTGCCTGGGGGCACACAGAGCGCATATTAAATAGCAATGCAACAGTAAAAAGGGATTGTCTAGTTCTCATCAATGACAGCACCCTTTGGAGTGGCTGATGGATGAAGGGCCATGTAGGAAATAGAAAGCTCGACTTCCTTTTTCTTTTATGTTACTGACTTCAGTTTATTAAAAAAAGAAGAAAAAGACAGAAGACCAATCTAGTGACTGTCTTAGAACAATGCCAAGTGTATCAAAGCCCACTCCTTCTGCAGCTGACTAACATACCTGATGCACCCTAGAAAAGCTGGCCTACCTGCTTCCCCCAGAGACACAGAGTCCTGCTGGCTCTCCTCGAGGTTTGATGGCAACAGTCCCCTTGCTGAAGGGGTGGCTGGTAGGAAAGCCACATTGACCCTGCCCTAGTGAAAGGCCATGGAAGGCACCTGAGAGCCTTTACTGGAATCCTGAAAGAACCACCAAACTCTGCTTTGCACAAAGGACATGCTCTGTGGACTCTAGAGTCTACAGCACCATAGAAGGTAATCATAAGAGCATTTTCAATTTAGTATTTTGAAACCATACATTAACAGTGAGTTAGATGATGGTAATATGGTTCCTCTTCTTTTAAAGTTACAGGCAAGGTTTTTAAGCCACATAACAATTTCACTCCTGAAGCTGGTAAGGGGACCTGGAGAAACAGTAAGTTCAAATGAGACTGGAAACACATTTGTTTAAACTAGAGACCCACTTGGCCAGGGAAGAAGTGCAAATGTGCTCACAGCTAATGAGGAAAATATACCCCACAAATTTAAGCAGCCAAGGAACAGGTATCTTTAAACCCATGGATGGTGAAGGACAGACAAACAATTGGGGTCATGGGCTTTTCTTCCTCCAAAACTGTAACAGATGTGGCTACAGCAGTCATGAGCGTGCAGCTGCTGCCTGGACACTGATGGCTGTGCCCGTGCTCATTACCAGAGGTCCCTGCTGACCCCTCAGTTCTAGAAAGCACAATAAGTAATGGTCTAAATCCACTTTCAAGCCTGTGTGCAGATTACCCTGACAGCAGTGTGGGGATGGTGATAAAGTCTGTGCTCGGGTGTGTCCTCTGACAGTTCAGCTTTGACTTCATCAAGCCATTAAAGGTTTTGGGAAGACATCTGATAAGAGCACTGTTCTCCCCTAAAAGGACTGACACCAGAGATGCGCTTAATAATGTTTTTATTTTCCTGCAGAAGTTGTAAAGGGGGGCAGAGAAGAAGGGCATGTCAAGATCAAAGCTTTCCTTCCTTTTCTGATGCAGCAACCAAGTTGAGCAGTGAATTGACATGAGCAGCAGGAGACTTCTAAGCTCAGTGGCATTAAAAGAAGAAAAAAGTAGTCTGGGGACACTCTGATCCCAGAAGCTCCTCATCTCCATCAGTCCCAAAGTAACAACAGGGGACGAAAGTCCAGCACTCTCTGCCCATGTGGATGTCTTCTGTTCAGTGGAAGGTGGGGGTGTGTGTGCAGGGGCGGGGGAAAGAGGGTGTTCTGTGGAGAGCACTAGAGAATATGCTGACCAGAAATGCATATGCTGACCAACTGGAGGTCATCAACTCATTACAGGCAAAGGTTATTCAAGGTAAACCAGAGTAATGAGATGGGAGGCATTTCCTTCTGGCTACTTAGGCACAGCAGGATAAAGTAATCTTTGAAGACCTTTCCAAGCTTGACGGCCAAGCAGCAAGTACAGATTTAAACACGGGGATTTTTTAAATTATTATGATTATTATAGTAGTCTACTGAAAACTAGGTGCAGAGATCAATTCAATTCACAGGTACCTGCACTGAAAGCAGTTTTTTTAATAGAAGGATGGAAATACTGAAATGTCACTCAAAAAGCCCATTAATTAAATTCTGTCTCACTATAAAAATTATGGTGGAAAGCAGTA